AAGATGGAAAAGCATCATCGATAAAAACGGAGACTATTTCATTTAATAAATATTTTGTTTGGATAAATATAAGTTGTTCAGGTTTTTCATCTAAAAAACCCGACATTAATTTCTTGATGGCCTAATATTACGAAAATCGCTACTGATTTTAGAAAATTCACGCAGCTATATGTTTTGGAGATATCGAAAAGAAAATGAAAGATTCTGTACCACAGCTTAAGTAAAGGCTAGTAGCAACTGATTAACAAATCTAAATGTACAGGAAAGATGTTTTTCAACGCATCAGAGTTTTACTTTTCCTTAGTAGCTTGTTCTGTATAGTATATCTCATGATAGTGGTTTATTCTTTTTGTACTTCGAGCGATGTTACATCGTTCTATTTATATGTCCTGTGGTAATGACTGGTTCTATGTTGTATGTTGTTATGTGGTAGTGCTTAGTTCTATGCTGTATTGCACGTAGTAGTGGAATGTTTCCCTCACTATATTATATGGTAGAAGGCTTGCTATATTTCGTAAGTCATTTGATTACGACTTTTGCGCATGTCAAGAATACGATAACAGATTTCTGTTAATCACTTATTTCATAACGCAGTGATTTGTACTATTTTGTATTTTTTTTAAACCGGCTCTTAATATTACCATAGCCAGTAGTTATATTGTCCCACATTGTTAGTTTTTCATTGAATTGTTCAGATCTCTAGCAAATGATCTGCATTGTGTGGAATTTATCTCGCAACCATAGATACTAACACATAATATGTATTTTCAATGTTGCGTGTCTACGTCATCAAGGTTTAAACCAATGAGCGATTCACAAATCCATACCATAATCGTTCGTTCCGCTGTTGCTGTATACGCTGCGTACAAAACTCCAAGCTAAGAGTGAGGATCGTTTGTATGACCTGGGCGCTTTCAAGTAAAGAGTGTGTACTCTCAGAACTGAAAATCGACAGAATTAATAGGAATTCCCAGAATAAGAGTTTTACAAAATTCGTATCTTTTTAAACGGCTAGCAAACGTTCATCGACATATTCAGGAAATGATAACAGTTGAAAAAAAGAGGTTGCTAAGGAATTCCATGTAAGAAGAAAGGTAAGTCTAACAATTAACCACATATACATTTTGTTACAAACACTGACTATATCATGGTTCTAAGTACCAATATTTCTATGTTATAATAACAATGTGTACTTATTATCTCATGGTTCTAAGTACCAATATTTGTATGTTATAAAACAGTTCGTACTTATTATCTCATGGTTCTAAGTACCAATATTTGTATATTATAAAACAGTTTGTACTCATTATCTCATGGTTCTAAGTACCAATATTTCTATGTTATAAACCAGTTTGTACTTCTTATTATCTCATGGTTCTAAGTACCAATATTTCTGTTATAATAACAATGTGTACTTCTTATTCTACTATGTTTTTTGTTTTTTACAAACAATTTCATGATACTCTCAAACCAGAAGCATCGTGTAAAATATTTTTGTATGTCTACTTGCTTATCTTTATCTGTCTACAGAGCAAAATGGTTGAATTCATTATAATTGAATATTCGAATAAGTAATAATCGCAAATGCGTCATTACAGCATATCTGCAGAGGCAGTTAAGTGTGTATTATAGAGATAGGGTACATGTTCGTTGGTTGTGAACAAAAGCAGTTCAGTAGTAATGTGTTTAATACCAATTCCATGTTTTAGTTATCAAAATGAACGATACGGAAACTTTGCTTAGAAATAAGTTTGGAATTTCTCTTCGCCAGCCACTCATATAATGTTGGGAGAAATAAGATAAAAAAGTAAAGGGAAAAGGTCACTGTCTCAAGCAGATTCAAATCTAGCGTTTAAAGCTGTTATGGCACATTTTTTTTTCTCTGAGAGTTTTAAGGCTTTTCGTTTGTAACGTACTGGTACAAACCTTCTCAAAGGTTCGCTAATTAGTTTGTAACGTACTGGTACAAACCTTCTCAAAGGTTCGCTAATTAGTTTGTAACGTACTGGTACAAACCTTCTCAAAGATTCGCTAATTAGTTTGTAACGTACTGGTACAAACCTTCTCAAAGGTTCGCTAATTAGTTTGTAACTTACTGGTACAAACCCTTTCAAAGGTGCGCTAATCAGTTTGTGAAGCACTGGTACAAACTCTCTCAGAGATGCACTAATAAGTTTGTAACGTACCGGTACAAACCCTCTCAAAGGTTCGTTGATTAGTTTGTAATGTATTAGTACAAGCTTTTTCAAAGATGCTGTAACAACCTTGTAATGTATTGATTAAAACCCTCTGAAAGGAGCCCTAAAACGTTTGTAATATGTTATTACAAACCCTTTCTCAGAAGACATTTATTTTATTTTTTTGCCTCTTGTTCACAGCTTCGATGCTTATTCGAGAAGGTTGGCACGGTACAGATAGCTCTTTGTGTAACTTTGTCTCCAATTACAAAGAAACAAACAAAAATCCAAAGATGCTTATTCCATCGGACGTACACAAAAAGTAATGGCATGTTGGATGCTTGTGCCATCAGAATTACACAAAGAGCAATACCATTTTTGAGGTTTATGTTATCAAACATGTACAAAAAGTAATAAAATATTTAACACATTTCATTAATCTAAACTATATAAATAGCCAGTATGTGTCACGTCACGCTTGATTTCTTGAAATAGGAGGAGTCATAAAAGCCAAACTGTATTTATCCATATAGAAATAGCTCGATTACTATTTGCCCATTACAATTTTAGTGAGGGTATGTGTGCTGTGAAACCTTATAAGTGTAGTGAGTGTTGGTATAATAAGCCTGAAGTAAAGATGTAGTGCGAGATCACCTAGCCTAGAAAAATTAAATAATAGATTGAACAATCGCCAAGTTTTTATATATTTTTATTTAAAGAAGGATGACGTTTCGAGCTAACACTCTTCGTCAGATCCTGCATTTTACAATCAGCCTATGCGGTTTTAACTATATTTCTCACCTAATCTAGAGTCAAGTGCATAAAATTTATCATGAAAGTAAAAATATCGATTCAATGTTATACTTAAATCATTTCTAAATTAATATATTTACTAACTTTTTTAAATAAAACAAATCTCTTTAATCAACAGAGACTTTAAATTAAGAAATCAACAAATATGTTCCAGTTTTGTTGTCTATACATTTTATTTTATACTTTCAGTATATAGACTAACAACAATATTAGGTTATACTTTTGTTGCTAAGCGACATGACATAAAAGCCATTATTGGAACGTACTGTTACCAAAACGCACTGTCTTTTCTATATATTAGAAGTTGTTAATCTAACTGATTTTTACCGGTAATTATTCTATGGATACGCCACGAATTCAGTTCATGAATAATCATAATTTTGATTGGCTCACAATGGAATTTACCGACGTTTGACTGCTTCGACTGCACTTTTCTGTCTGTTTGTTGATCTAGTTTGATTTCGAAAAATTTATTTCTTTCTGTTAGTTATTAAGTGTGTGTCTTTCAAAATTTGTAGTACACACTGGAGAGATTTACAAATTTTGATAAAAAGTTTAAAAAAAAAACGACCTTTAAACTCCAGATATATGTAAAGCCTTTGCGGCTTCATCAGGGTTAATATACACAACTCAGAATCAATTGTGTATATTATCCCTGAAGAAGCCGCAAAGACGAAACTTTGGTTAAAATATACATTTAAAATATATATATATATGTACGTAGGGTGTAAAGGTCGTTTTTTCTTAACTTTTTATCAAAATATGAAATGTGAAGTTAGGGTACACTATGGGTGGTAGTACGTATCCCGTTATTTTTGACGGGCTATACGCTAGTACTCACATAAAAAAAACAGTTCCGTTTTTGACACTCATGCTAATAGACCTACTACACAAAGTAGTGCTAGTCCTACTCCCTGATACACACCTCCTAAAAGAATTTGGAGGTGTGAAAAACACCATACGAAACTACTACAGCTTCGATTCTCATGGTGGGCACGGCACAGGTAGCCAGTCCACTGTGTGGCCTTGCGCTTAATTACAAACAAACAAAATCGTTTGCAGAGTTGTACACAAGTTTAGAACACAGAAAGTGATTCAATAGGGAGATATTTTTGTCTTCAAAACTTGAAGCCTAATGCCCAAACTGGATCGTTTTTACAACATTGAAAATGCCTGTATCTTTACACCGATATGAATAGAAGCTATTCGTGTTTCTAATGATCATAAAAGCGATATTAATATATTAAGAGTGCTATTGTGAACCAATTTATGTATTATTGAGTAACTATTCAGCAACTGGTTTGGGTCTTTAATTTTCGGGTACAAGAGGCATGATTCTCAACCACAAACTTTATAAAACTCGGGACGTCATTTCTGATGTTTTTATCCTTGGAATAATGTTTTTTTTGTTTCTGTTACAAAATGTATATATTATTACAAATATATATATATATATATATACAACACTAACAATTAACTGGGGAAGACAGTAATTTCAGCAGCTACGTCATTTCTATTACACTTGGATGAAACCAAGTCAGTAAAAATTCACCGAAACTTTATTTCACTCACCAGAAATTTAGTGTTACATCTTTAAAAGTTTCTATACGTGTGAAATAATTATATTTTATGGTTAAAAAAGAAAACAAAACATAAGCTTTGCAATCAGAAAAGGAGAATCTAAGCTGGTTACCAATGTCAATAAAAACTCGACAAATCTTTATGAACATCATGAAGTTCCGTGTATAAATATACCCACTGCGATCAATACATTGAGGTTCCTAGAGAATATAATCCACGTGAATAATTATATCTTTCTTCGAGAGAGTCAAGCTAATAGTTGGAGGACCGCTACATTGTTTCAACGTAAGCTATACACAATCTTATCTTAAGTTTGACTTAAAACTGAAGCAGCTATAAAAAATATCAACTGAAGTTTATAACTTGAAGTTTCTGTTCTACACTATCTCAACTGAAGTTTGACTTACACTTAAAGAAGCTATTCACAATTTTAACTGAAGTTCGTAACTTCAATTTGAAGAAGCTATAATAATCTTAACTTGAGTTTATAACATAAAGTTGAGATGCTCTAAATGTTTCAACTTAAGTTTGACTTAAAATTAGAAAAGCTATGCACAATGTCAGTTTAAGTTCGTAAACTTTAACTTGGAGAAGCTATATACAACTACAAACGCTACAATTTCTGCTTGCCACTAACCTTTATGACACAATAATATTACCATTTTCTCGTTCTTTTCTACTTGGAAGAAAATCCATTATTTTTCTAACTTTTCATGTTCGTTCACAACTTTTAGAGCTCTCATTTAAACACCATTCTTCTGTGGTAATTTGTTTTCAAAAAGTTTTTAACAACAAGTGTGTGTGTATATATATATATATACGTATGTAAATATTAATGTGGTGACGACGGAATTTAGAAATTGTAAAAATAATCTTTTTAAATCTATCCTAGTCTTGCACAAACCTAATCAGCATATCTCTGTGTTTCTGCTTGGTTATGGACGTAAGAAACGTATACATAACCATCACACAGTGTGTTTTATGGAATGTCTCTTTAGTCATATTTTGAGTACGTATTCTTGAGATAATAAAGTTACATTCTGGGGATATAGGTCGTGAGTTTATTTACGTTTATATTGTTTTATTTTATATATTGTTGTTTTATGTTATTTTAGTGCTTATATTGTGCCTCATTTAAAAACCCTTTCAAGCTCAAATTTTACATTTTCTTAAACCTTAAAAACGCGAAAAGATACTTTCTTTGCTAAACTTCAGACCTGATCAATAAGAACAAGAGGGTGATAACTAGAATAACTAGTATCAGCGTTGCCAAGAAAATCTATTTTTTGTAAGATGTTAATAAACATGAGTTGAAGGTCATAGCTGCTTAATAAATAATAATATCTTAAGTACAGGGCCGGAAATCAAAAGTAAATGAGTCACAAAATGTAATTTATTATTTATTGGGAAAAGAAGTCTGAAAAATCCTGCGTTTTTATGAAAATCAGATAGTTTAACTTCGCACCTCAGAATTATTTATCAGTTTTAGAAACACATGACTTCTAGTAGTTAAAGGAAACTGA